GGTTTTCCGCAGAGGACAGGGCAAGTATAGCTCTTCCCTAAACCCCAGGACAAAAGCAGTTTTCCCATGCAGTGTGGGCACAGCCCCACTGCATGGGAAAATAATTTACATGGAGTTCTGCTTTAAGCTGCACTAGTATGGCAGGTTTTAACCCTTCTAAACATCAGTAGAAGATACAAGTAGACACTTAAGGAAACATACCTTTTTGACAGGACTGTCTTCCTCTTCAGAACTTCTGTATAGGAGATTTAGGATTACTTAGCAAAATAAAGTAAAAATAGGAATACAAGCATCCAGATACAGGGGAAACAGTGTGAAATGAAGCCTCAAAGTATCCCAGAAAATGTGCAGAATTCTAAAACCCAATCAATCATACACCCAGCACCTCAGGTTAATACTTACTCATCTTCATCTTTTTCAATTTTCTTCTTCTAGGATAAAGACACTAATTACCAATTGTTAAAACACCAGAAGAGCTATTCCAAGATCACTTGTAGTGAATACATCTCATAACTGGCATAGCAGATGTTTGGTTACATTTACAAGGACCAGATTTAGTTCACAATTTTCTGTCACATGCCAACGCTCAGATGTTGGGGTCCATGCCAAGAGGAGGTGGGAGAAGAACTTAGACCAGTGGTGCAATGCCAAACAAAGGAAAGTATTGGCTGAGAAAAATAGGCCATGAATGGTTAGCCAGTCAAGCCAAATATCCTAGAGTCTGTATGCAAAAATGTTTAGAGCATGTTCTACCTGTAGGATCTCATCTATGTAAATAGTACAGATCAATTTGGACACTGGTGAGGATCCCTCCCCCCAAAAAAAAAAAAAAAAAAAAAAAAAAAAACTGCGCCATTTGTTTCCCATTGGCATGCAGTTTGTTACCAAGCAAGACATGCATTTTGTTCCGGAAGTAGCGATTGTTTATACGATTTTATTCAATTTGACATTTTAGAGAGATTTACTTAAAGTATAACTAAAGTGGACTCCCCCAAATAGCCTTTAGTTTTGGTTAAAGTGGAACGGGATAACACTTGTTACTGCTATCTGCCCCCATTAAGGAGATTTGCCCTCCATCCTGTTTACCATCGAAAGAAAAAAAAAAAAAAAAGCGCCATTTGTCCATTGGCTGGTTTGTCACCAAGCAAGACATTTGTGCTGGAAGTAGCAAAACCTTATATTCACCAGATGCGAGAACATCTACTCCCCATTCAAAGTCCCAACCAGTGACTCCAAATCACTAGCAATGATCCTCCCTGCTCAGAGGGTTGCTTGCCACCAGCAAAGTTTTACCCATGGCAACTGACTGATGGGCTGCCATCCAAGACACCTTTAGCCAGACAATACATTGTAGGGTTCTTTCATCCCTACCCAGGTCACTCCTTTATAAAGAACCATTTCTGCATTTTACACTTAATGCTCGGGTTATTTTTGACCTTCAATATTTTGGGTCAGGTTCATTTTCTGCAGACAGTACCAGTTGTAAAAAAAACAAAACAAATCCCTGTAGATATATGGGGCCTAGACTTCTGTTCAATTCCAGATTTAAGGGAAAACCCAAAATGTTTTACCACGTAGGAACAGTTTGTTTTAAACAAAATAGTACAGGATACTGGCCATGGGTTTGCCAAAGCAGCCCTGCAATGCCTGGGGCCCATTTGAAGATTTAAAAAAAATGAGCCATAAGAGATGGGTAACCCACTTATTTTGTAAAGCAACTTGATGGCTTAAAAGCAACAATTTATAAACAAAGATTTTTCTTCAGGTTGTACATAGACTCAAAAGAAGCAACCCAATGCCCCCTCTGCTGGTTCAAGAGTGCAAAATAGGCAACATTTGTGCCAATCACTAACAGAAAGACATACATTGTCTAGGACAGGGGTCTCCAAACTTTTTAAACAAGGGGTTAGTTTACGGTCCTTCAGGATTTAGGTGGGCTGGACTGTTGCCATTCCTTGCACTGATTCAATCAGTGGGGCACTATTCCTCCTGCCAAAACCAATGATGGGGGCACTACTCCCACTGACTAGATGGGGCACTATGCCTCCCACTGATAACAATGGGCCACTGTTCCCCATGTAGGAAATGTCTTGGCATCAGTGGGATGAAATACTGCCCCATTATTGGTTTTAGCAGAAGGAACAGTGCCCCATTGTTGGCATCAATGGGAGGCATAGTGCCCCATCTAAAATGTCAGTGGGAGGCGTAGTGCCCCTTCATTGGTCTTAGCAGGAGGAATAGTACCCCATTGATTGGGTCAGTGCAAGGAATGGTGCCTCATTTGTGTCATTTCCAGGAATAGTGTCCCAAGGGCCAGACAGTCAAGCTAAGGGCCACAGTTTGGATACCACTGGTCTAGGAGGAAGCTTGCTACATTGTCAAAGGGGAGAAAACAAAAAAACGCAGTTCCTGAAGTAAGCTGTGGAATGTTACAAGTCAAAGACACTTTGGAATTGGAAGAGAAAGGCTTAGCTCATAATGTGGGGAGCAAGATATTGTAAGATTTTTCCCTGCTGGATCAAGCTGGATTCTGTAGCTTGTTCTAGACCAGTGGTGCTTTTTTTTATGACACTACATATACACACTAAAATATTCTGGCTTTAATATACATACAAAAAGTGTTAAGATCAGCAAGCCCAAATCAAGTCCAACACCAGATTGTGGATCAGAAACCATGCATAATCTTCTAGTGCCCAGCAAGTTGCTTCATGCAAATGTGCTCCACCACATGCTAATACATTGCACTCACCAACCATCCATGACCTCTTGATTAAAAGAGGTAATGCGCTTTGTGTCCAAGGCTTTGGAACTTAGATAGCCTCAATATTCTCCCAGTTTTCCCCATAATCCAAGATCATAAGTCAGAATGGGAGACTCCTCATAGTGTAGTATGTTTATTGTAAACAGATAAAACCAACAAAAGTACACTCACAGCTTGTGCCCAATCCTTGGCACAAAAACTCAGCTCTAGACTGCCATTGCCACTCATGCAATAGAGTCAGCGTGCGTTCTATTGACCGGAAGCAGATGCGACGTCAACAGACCCGGAAGTGGCTGGATAAAACACTGCCTCTACACGTTTTGCCAATCTGGCATCTTCAGGAAGGTATAGAGCGAATACCAAGGATTGGGCACCAACTAATGTGAGTTTACTCTTGTTGGTTTTATCTATTTTTACAACACTGACAAATCTTCTGATTTATGATTGATGATTGAGTAAATTGGGAGACTATTGATATCCACTGATGTGCCAATGCCTTAGGGACACAAAGCACATTAGACCTTTTAATCAAGAGGTCATGGATGGTTGGCGAGTAATGTATTGGCATATGGTGGAGCACAGAGAATTTGCATGAAGCAACCCATTGGGCACTAGATTATACACAGATCCATAATCTGGTGTGGGACTGATCTTTAACACTGTTTTCATAGGTTTAGATTACAGCTGGAATATTGTTTGTTTAGCATGTATGTAGCGCCATACCTTACTTTAATATTTTGTTCAAACTTGAGTGAGTGCCACTTAAGCATGTTAACTGATCGTGTGTCAGTGAAATTGTTCAGAGCTGGGTTTTTTGGAATAGCATAATGACCATTCCAACCCCCCCCCCCACAGCCAGTGAATGCTAGTGGGAGGGAGAAAAGCAGCTGGCTTTCAACGGGGGGGGGGGGGGGGGGGGGGGGGGGGGGGGGGGGGGAATCAGTTTCTGTATATGCCACCCCTGCAGTCCAAGTGTGAAACAGAATGTGATTGGGAGGTTGCACGGGCCCCCTGGGCCAAGGGGTGAGGTAGCCATTGCAACCCACTAAACCAGTGGCTGAGGAGGTGTGGTAAAAACCACCTGCCACCCCCCCCCCCCCCCCAAAAAGAAAAAAAAAAAAAAAAAAAAAAAACTACAAATGTAAACAAGCCCTCACTGTCCTGAGCTCCCTATAAGACTGTTTTCACACTGATGCTCTGGTTTACCTGCACTGTGGGTGCAGCACAATGCTTTCTGAAAGCACACCAAAACTCCCACATTCAGTTGGAGGTCAAGTGCCACATCGGAGGGTTGATCAGCCCTGTTCTAGATCAACTAGATGGGAAGATACAGCTATACAAGGTTAGCACAGTGAATGGGTGGCACATAAAGTGGTTGTAAAGGCTAAAAGTTTTTTTTTACCTTCATGCATTCCAAGCATGGGGAAAAGAAAAAAAAAAAACCCCACACCCGTGTGCAGCAGCTCCCCCAGCACCCTCATTGCTTACCCAAGCTGCATTGTTATCCAGCAATGTGAATGACTGGGTCTGACTCCTCATTGGAGGGCAGCAGGTGCCATTGGCTCATGCTGATGTCAATCTCAGCCAGTGAGGTGAGGGTGGGGCCAACCCACAGCTCCAGGTGTGAATGGACAGAGCAGGTGCCCCCATAGCAAGCTGCTTGCTGTGGGGGCACCCTAACAGGAAATAGGAGCCAGGAGAGCCTGCAAGGGACTCAAGAGGGATGATTCAAGCTGATCTCTGCAAAACCACTGCACACAGCAAGTATAACTTTTGTAAAACAAAGAACCTTTAGAATCCAAGATGTTCCTGTGAGTCCATACTCGTATGTACAGTTAGCTTAGGATCCAAGGTGCTCCACAGGATAAATTTGAAGCCCTACAGGGGCACTTGCAAGAAGGGATCTGCACTATTGCTACCTTAGGTTTAATTGTAGGATCAAATCCATCACCCCAATACCAAGCAATTTAGCTGAACTAGTACCAATACAGACCAGTGCTTATTATCTTTGCCACAACTATCTTAAATTAATCTTACTGCTAAACCATTTTGTTTCTTCAGGTGAGATGTGGAACTGTTTGGGCCCTACTAGTCAAGTTCAGCTTGATTCAGGTAAAATAAACTGAACACCATAGACTTAATTCACAGAGCTTGCGTGCAAGGATAAGGAGGGAATAAGATTTTGCAAATATTTTGAAGTTTTCAGTTGAAAAAAATAAGGCTCTTTATGCTGCTGTCTTCACTTACAATGGAGTCCATTTATATGCTGCAAAAAAAAATCCATTGGTGCGAATGGGCTACATTGCTTGTGCAGCAATGAAGGCCAATCTGCTCTCTCTAAGAAGGGAAAAAAAAAAAAAAAAAAAAAAGGAGGGAAAAAAAGAGAAAAAAAACAAAAAAAACGACCACATACCTTTGCCTGTCCTGCCTTTTTGGAAGCTGCTGGCCTCTTTACAGCTTTTGGAGGAGATTCTATATCTTCGTCCTCTTCTTCCTCTTCCACCTCCTCCTCACCTTCTTCCTCTGCCCAGGAGTAGTCAGCTTCCACTAAAAGGTACAAATAGTCATTTCTCTGGTGTACCTAGCCACCTATGAAAATGTTAAGTTGCCTGTCATGCTGATGCAATAGCATTAGTGCCAGGTATGCAGATTGTTAGTACCAACTTTTATTTGAGGTCTTTTCAAAAAGAAGATAACTGTTAAAGCCAGAGGATAGCCAGGCAAATAGTATTTCTGGGTGGTACACAATGACAGCCACACATTTAGTTTCCTGATGCAGAAAACCACTTTAAGGCTATGTTCACACTAGCGTTGTGTGCAGGCGGCAGAGGCGTTTGGGAAGCGTTTTTACCGCTTCCCAAACGCCTCAGACAATTCTGCACATTGCAGCACATGGTGCTGTTCTAACGGGAGCGTTAGCGCCGCGGCAAAATGGACGCCTCTGGTAGAGTCTGGAGGCGTTGAAGCCTCCTATTCTAGTCTATGGTGCCGCTCTGCAAATGCCCAGCCGGTGGTTGCGGGGCGTTTGCGGAGCGGTAACACCGTTTAAACTTCATTATAGGAGTTTGTGTGGTGTTAACACTTGGCAAACGCCTAGCAACCGCTGCTAAACCACGCATGCGGCGTTTGCCGAGCATTAAACACTCCGCAAATGCTGGACCAACACTTGCGAAACGCTATAGGGGCATTTGGCAAATGTTAGTAAAACAGTCAAGTGTGAATGAGCCCTAAAAAGTTTGTCAGTTGTATGCCCAACCTACTGCTGCAATTTAGTCTACCAGGTTTGCTTCTTCCACATTTTTAACAAACAGGAAAGTGCGTTTTGGCATTATGCAGGCATTTAAGTAGAGGCTTCTGTTCTGAAATCACTACCAAACCAGTCATACAGCACTGGCCCTCAGTTATATTCTGACCCACCCCAATTTCTCTCCCTCTTAAAATCAACCCAAGTGCATCTGCTTACAGAAGCTACAGCACAACTTCTTGTGACTTCTTGTGACAACTCAATACAGGTAATCATGCATTTACCCTAATCAAGCAAAAAAACTTTCCATGAATGTACACCCATTGCAGACGTTCTGACAATGCCAGTTACCCAGCTACCTTTGGCTTTTGCGTCAGACCCAAAACAAGTATGTAGCAAGTAAAGTCAGAGCACCCAATTTGCATCCTGCTTTGGGTCAGGGCAATGGGAGCCTACATCCTGACCATGAAAACTCTAGGCATTACTTTTCACATCTTATACAAGGACAATTCTTCAATGTCCATTTCTACTTTATGTTCTTTGCATATTGTAGAAGCAAAGCATGTTCCTTTAAGCAGCCATTGCAAATCAGATTGATTAATTAAGATATCAAAATGGGTTGTATCATCAATAGTTCTATTGCCCTGAAAGGTACCCAAATGAAGTCAATTCAAACTCTGGTAAAACATTGAATGCCTGGTTAATTACTCCACACCTAGCTGCTTAGTCTACTGTGGCTGTACATCCAGGGCCGGTGCTTCCACTAGGCAAAGTAGGCAGCTGCCTAGGGCACACTGCCACCTAAGGGCACAGCACAGCACTGGGATTCCACCATGTCATGACTGATCCTTCAGCCGAGCCGGAAGAAAGGACAGCGGAAGATGCCGTTTGTCTGAGGCCAGTGTAACAGCTAATCTGCTGCTCCTTCCGGTATTCCTCTGACTCAGCCCCTTACTGCAAGCTGGCTGGCAGCTGCTGATCACTGGAGTTCCAGCCCTTCTCTTCCCATTCAGACGCAGAGCTTGTGGAGGAAGGTAATGTCTGACTGATGTCTTGCATTGGAGTGACCCAGCCAGCCATCCACCACATGTCCAATGTGCCAGTGAGTGATGACATGATCACTCAGCCTGCTCTTCTAGTGCCTGCTGACCTGGGGTAAGATCTGTCACTATGTGGGATTGCTCAGTTCAGGTGTGTGGGCTGGGCTGCCTGCAGGCACAGCATTTTATCTCCTCCCATTGCCTGGGGAATTCCAGCCTGGGATCTGTCAGTTACAGCGAGTAGAGGATGATGGATCCACTCACCCTACTGCCAGCCACAGATAGTCCGTCTGCGACAGTGACTGTCGATATCTGTGCTGGTAGCTTTTTATTCTGCAGACTACGAAATTTAGCAGTTTTAAGTTGTTAATTTAATAGTCAATAGACAAAAGTCTAGCACCAGCCCTGTGTACATCATTGCCATGACTTCAGTAGGGAACCACCTGGTCTGTCACCTCCCAAGTTTGGCAAGCCTCGTCTCACTTGTTGGTAACCATGTTATTCCCAGTTATGAAAAACTAAACCAATTCAGATCTTGTATCCACATCCCTTTGGCATCTGCCTAGCTTGTTTGCACAATTTAACATGCAACTTGCAGATCATTACTCACGTGCAACATGCTGACCACTAATATACACTGGCCCAGATCCAGACTTCAGCTGGAATGTGACTGGAGGAGTCAACTCAATGCCCACCATGGTAGCCTGCAAAGTGACAGGAAATTGGTTCAACATCCCCACCAACATCATGGAACATTTTTCAGTTTCAGTGGAAGCTCACCATTGGTAGGATAGATGGCTTTAGTGTAGCAATAGGAACAGGTTTTGTCTCACTTCCTTCTACCTCTTGAGGGACTATTTCTACTATGTGAAACTCATCCTTTGCATTATTTCCAAGACATACCTAGACAATACAAATACAGTGAGGCTCTAGGCTAGAAAACAACAAAAGCAATGATGGGGGGGGCAGTTTAAAACAAATGCACATTCAGAAAATCAGCTTTACAACTACCCTAGGTCAGGCCTCCATTTGCATGGACCAAACTGACAGTTGGAAGGGCTGTAGTAAAAAAAAACTACCATAGTTCAATAGATCAGTAGCTTGTTAATTAGGACTTTAATTTGGGGGAAAAAAAAAAAAAAAAAAAGAAGATTTCTTGTAACAGATGCCAAAAAGCTGAGCATACATAAGAATTTATCAAAAAACTGCATAATGCTACCAGATTGACATGCTACAAGGTGGTAGACTGTACAAGGCTAAAGCAATACTCACTGTCCTCAACGCCAACTGATGCTCACTTTTGTCTTCATCTGACACTTTAAATACAAAGGTCTTGTTCTGTTCGTTCAGCTCACACCCTGCATTAGCCAGACACAAGTTACAAACAGAAGCTGCAAGTTTGGGCCATTCTACACAGAACATTGCTATGGCTGTGAATAAGTTTTACATTTTGTCAGCTTAAGAAAAATAGTCTACAGAGTTAAACTAGGATCATCCACATCCAATTGTCCTTGTGTATATTTATACAGTTTTAAGATCAGACCAGGTGTCCAAGCCTTTAAAAACCTTATATTTAGAAGGCCGAGTCATTTGCTCATTGCATATACAGGCTGGGTTCCTGTTTCCCCAAGCCACAGCAAGTAGCTGAAGTTCATCAGACTTCTGGGTGTAACTGCAGAGTGACAGACAGCACACCTCAATCATTCAGGGACAGAGGAAAACAAAGCATCTTTTATTTCAGAAAATTTAAATTTTGAGAGGTCTAGTTCCAGAAAACATCTGCTGATCTTGCATTTCAAAAAGGTTAACATGGCTATACTCCAGTTTACACATGCCATCAGGCAATGCCCTAGTGAATATTTGGTAGCCTCAAGAGTGCCACTAGACTAGCATTCAAATTAGGAAAAAAATGGACAGGTTTGCAATGGGTTGCTGCTTGACTGTGTAGCCTGGTTTGGTCAAGCATGACAGTAGTCAGTGGCAAGTGATAAAGCTCACCAATACACTTGACAGACATAGGGAACCAAAGTGTGAAGACAAAGGTTGAAGGACTTCTACAGTCTGAGCTTCTCTGTACTGGCACTGCAAGAAGCCGATTCCAAGATTCAGATACATTTCCTGTTGTACCAATTAATACAGGACTACATTTGTGTTTTTTATATCTACTAGCTGTTCACCAATAATACCTGTGTATGTGCTGGACAGCACTGCTGATTGCAGTCATGGTTGCACACAACTAGGACATATCCAAAAATACACACCTTTATAATGTTTTTTTTTAAAATATGATAGCTTCACTTTTCTGGTTTACAAGTGAGAACTTTAAGGGGAAATAAGTCAATTTACCTTTTTATTTTATTTGGCCATTGTTGGTCTTTTCTTGCTTCTTTTGGTAATTCATGCTATATCTTAGTACAGTACCTAGTTTTCTTATTTGGCTGCCTGTGTTAAAATGTAAGAACACTTCCACTAGACCAGTGTTTCTCAACTCCAGTCCTCATGGACCCCCAACAGGTCATGTTTTCAGGATCTCCATTATTTTGCACAGGTGATTTGATCAGTTTCACTGCCTTAGTAATTACCACAGCTGTTTCATCTGAGGGAAATCCTGAAAACATGACCTGTTGGGGGTCCATGAGGACTGGAGTTGAGAAACACTGCACTAGACCATTGTTTGAAGATGCATTTTGAGAGGTCACTACATAAGCTGGTGCTGAGATTTTGTATTTCTTGTGAAGCTGCACCTTTACCTTTTCATGCCCTGACAAGAGTCCTTTGCAACATGTATTTCCATTAGTGGCAAATAAGCCAAGATAGCATTATATAAAGAGCTGCAGAAACTGCACTATAGAAATCTTTTATATCAAATATTATGCTTGCAATCTGACCAGTCTGGTGACTATGGCAAGCTTTAGCATAATTAAATCCTAAAAACGTAATCCATGACATGGATTACAGAACTCCAGGTATCACCATTTATATCCAATGTGCAATTAGATTTAAGGGGCAATTGCAGTGGAACAACCTTGTATGATAGATAGAGATTCACTACAGCTTAAGCATCCAAACCCCAGCTTGACTGGCATCCCAATATATACTTCTTATATTTTGTTGTGATAGATTAAAAAAAAAAAAATTTAGTTTGTGTCATACCTATTGTACAAAGCCTGTTAAAAGCCAAAGAAGCAGAAGCAGACCACTTTTCAGGAACACAGCATTGTGCCCTGTATCTGCCACCTGTAGACAAACCTACTGCACCCAATGGCAAGTCACCCCCCCCCCCCATTGGGATTAGTCAGCAGATCTCAAGTTCACATTCAAAACTTGCCATATCATTGCCACTTTAATTTTTACAGCATAGCTATACTACCATATGCCAGTTCTGACCAACTATACTTTCTGCAAGGCAAGTGCCCATTAATGTGTACTTCATAACCATTTTTTGGAAAGGTTACCCCCATTACTTCCATGAAACAGCATCAGTCTTCCACTTACCCCATATGAGAGACACTGGTTTCTCCAGCTTGCTGGCGTTACTGACAGTAGAATCCATCTTTCTGAAATTGACAATAAAGCATCAACACAATTGATAGGTCAGGTGCTGTTAAACCACTAACAATCTTTGGGGTGCTGGAATTTCTTGGTCTGCAAACAGCTGCTATTAGAACCAAGAGGGCCCCATACAGCCAACCTGACAGGTGCAGCCGCCCCCCCCCCCCCCAGTAAGTGATTGGTACTGATCACCCATTGTGTTCATTTAGGAACACTGTGGATGGGACATACCAGAGACACAGCAGGGCCTGTGGCAGCAGAGGGAAGCATATGGTGCAAACGGAGGGTGATGTGTGCACAGGGGGGGGGGGGGGGGGGGGGGGAATTACTGGAACCGATCCCCTGTATTGCTCTCTGCAGGAGGGAGAGGCATAGAAGCCAGATCTTGGCTCCTGCAGAGAGCCATACAGGGGATCGGTTCCAGTAATTCCCCCCCCCAACCATGCAGATCAACCTCCCTGTCCACATCTGATTCACCTAGCTGCCTGGGCCCTGCTAGCCTGTACAGGACGACAGGTGGTACCCCCTTATCCATGGCCCTGTCTGCACATGTTTCTTTGGCCATTATGAGTGCTTCATTGATTATGTATTTTATAATGTGAAACACAGAAGGTGCTGCAATTCAGAAAATGTGGACACCCAAGAAAACCCAAAACTCCCAGGTGGACAGTATGCAATTAGGTAGCAGATTTCAGTAGTGTCATAGCCAAGACATATGGATCCAGAGGCTAACCATGCTACAAAAATACCACTTTTGGACAAGAGATTTTGCAACAGAGTATTCAGGGCAGGGGCGGACTGACAACTCATGGGGCCCCTGTGTCCTTGCCCAAACTCAAAAGCCTATGAAAAAGGTACTAGGGGCATCTCATGGGGCCCCTTACTGACCCCAGGCCCTCAGGCAGTGCCCGAGTTACCAAATGGTCAGTCTGCCCCTGATTCAGGGTTTCAACTATATTTTTATATACTGGCCAAGTCAGATTAAATAGAGTGCAGCCAGCATGCATTGGTTTGGAGGAAGAGATTTTGACAAGCAACTATACAGCTTCTTTAGCAAGCACCTTGGATCAGGGACCTGGGATTATAAATTGACCATGCATTATACAATCATCAGTACAGTCTTCAATCCAACTATATATTGCAGGGATCTGCCTAATTTGATACAGTTAAATGGATTGTTCAAGTTTGTCCTCATATTGCATAGCTTTGGTAAATCTAAAAGGAGATTGTATAGCATATGGCCAGTTTAAGACTGGGTCAGGGACATTTAAAGTAGTATCTGCATTAAAGCATAGTTATACTTAATGGATTAGTTAACCTTTCCAAAAAAAAAAAAAAAAAAAAAAAAAAAGCCCATTTTGTTGTAGTAGGAGCCTGTAAAGCAGAGTACCAGCAATCAGCAGATCACGCATGCCTTGCAGGTCTCCTGCAGACTTGTCAGTATCTGACTGCTCATACATGCCATATGGGCAAGCCGATACTTCAGACAGGAAGACCCAATGAACCATCACAGCACCATGGCAGTTCATTGAACATTAGTACAGGGAACTTCTCCCTGTACTGCTGTTACAAAGGTGGTAGGGGAGATATCAGTTTTTTGTACTAGCTTTTTCTGCAAAAAAAAAAAAAAATACTACACACAAAATAGCAAAACAGAAGTGCTTCTAGACCACCTAATGTGCAGGAACAGTTGCTTCTACAGGCAAAACGCTAAACACCACAAAAAGCAGCATTTTCTAAAGCCAGCGTGCATGGAACTTTAAATCAAAATTTGTTTTTTTTCCTGTGTCTCATTACTGATACACCATGCACTTGATTGGGCTGTAATGGTATCTGCCATCATGCCAGTTCTAGTGCAATGGCTTAACTAGGTTTAGCTACACAGTCATATGGACTGCAATCAGTGTACCTACATAGGTGTTGCCTTACTTTACACTGCAACACTCCAAGAAAATCCCTGCTGTGCACACCAGTACCTCCAAGCCTTCCCAGCCCACCAAGGTAGCCTTTATAACATTAGCTGCATGTAGCACCAGTCTGACCACTTTATTGATACACGTCCATAATCACAACTATATAATTAGGGAGGTATTAAATACAAGTTTAAGTTACATTATTAATGCACACTGTACTAAAGTAGCACATAATATTTTTAACTCACTGGATATCAGGCTTTTAGTAAATATTAAATACAGAGCCTCCCCTCCAACACAACTCCCAAGACATCAGTCACACAGAAATAAAACCCAGTGGTACACAAATACTCTAAATGAACTACCTGTAGCCCCCATAATACCAGCCATCCCACCAGCTATTGTAACCTGAATGCACAGCTAAACCCCTAACCCATCCCTACCCAGCAGACCTACTCTTCCAGAGCTGTCACACAAGAGCAGAGCTAGACCCCTGCTGTAGGGTTACTTATCAGGGAGGTGTTACACCTGACATTAATGATGACCATGAAATGTTTAACCCTTTGTGTGGGAGATTCTCTAGCACTGGGATTTGGGTAAAGAGCCATTTATCAGTGAACCGATCCACAACCCCGGATCAGCCTGTGCTCAGTACAGCAAAGTGCCCCCCCCAAGCACTGCTGTTGGGGATCATTACAGAATAAGCTGGACAGAGCATTTAAACAACGTGTTCAATTGCACAGATAAAATCTAAATTGCAATGTTGTTTCCATTTTTAAGATAAAGTTTCATTGAAAATGATATCTTTCTGTTTTTCACACACACATTTTCTGATTTTGAATTCAGTCCAAATTACAGAGTTACACGTTAAAAATCAGTTTTAAGGCCAGTTCATACAGAATGCAGTGTGCGTATCCTGCACCACATTCAAAACACATTGGGTGTGCGATCTGCTGTGAGTGTTAATGTATTGCTAATGACACCCCAAGCTCAGACCGCAAATGCAGAGCATATTCCTGCACTAGATCACATGGTACCACACTACCATGCGATATGGTAACAGTGCGTTTTTTAAAAGTACTGCATGCATTACTTTTGGTGTGATCCAGTGGGATTTCAGCCCATTCAAATGAAAAGGGTAAAAATTAAACCCCACTGAATCGCACAGGAATGTGGACCATGTTCCTGTATGATTCAGGAGTGGACCAGCCCTGAAACTTAGGCTGGCCATACACTATACAATTTCTGCCCAATTTCCTTTAGATTTACCTTCAACTACGTAGTGCAAGGGCCGGCCTAATTTGATACAATTGAAAGTGTTGTTAGGTTTGACCTCAAATTATATGGTTTTTGATAAATCTAAACCAAAAACCTCAAGAAAATTGTATAATGTATGGCCAGCCTTAGTTTACACTTGCAGTCAGGGGCAGTAAGGCTGGCCATACACTATACAATTTACTTACAATTTTTTGTCCAATTTCTGCCCAATTTCCTTCAGATTTACCTTTAACTATTTAGTGCAAGTGCCCGCCTGATTGGATACAATTGAAAGTGTTGTTTAGGTTTGACCTCATATTATATGGTTTTTGGTAAATCTAAAGCAAAATTTTCAAGAAAATTGTATAATGTATGGCCAGCCTAAAAATAGGTAATACAGTCTTAGCTTTGGCCCCCAGTCCAACAGGGGAATTTGTCCATCTGCACTATATAGTGTGAGCAACCTGCACTGAACAAAAAAAAAAATCCGTGTGTATGACCACCACTACTAATCAATTACTTTTTTCATGCTTTAAATAGGAGTCATTTATTCAGACCATAAATACTACAACCACATCCAAACTGAATGAAAACTTTGCTATATCTGTTTGATAAGTGACGCAGTCGTGCGCTGGAGCGACTATGGCGCGAAACCAGATCCCAACTAGCGTTCACTCACTATGAATCCGCCTTCCACACCTACACCTCCTCCTTCCATGCTGCCAAACAAGCCTACTTTCTGATTCTTATCAATACCCTCTCCTCCAATCCTCGCCGGCTCTTCTCTACCTTCAACTCTCTACCCTCTCTGCCCCCACCTCCACCCAGCACCTCACTCACCGCCCTCGAGATTGCCAATCACTTCAAAAACAAGATTGACACAATTCGCAGGGATATCGCCGCTGCCCAGACCTCCTCCCCACCCATCTCCTCTCACACAGCAACCCCTTCAACACACCTCTCCCTTGGCCTCACCACTGTTCAGACCTCCACCCCACCTAACATCCCTCACACTGAAGCCCCCTCAACACTCCACTCCTTCGACCTCACTACCACCGGGGAAGTCACTAAGGTCTTCTCCGAAGCCCGCCTCACCACCTGCCCCCTCGACCCTGTCCCCTCACAACTCCTACGAGCTCCCTACTCCTCCATCCTACACTCCCTCACCCACATCTTTAGTCTCTCCCTCTCTTCTGGCGCATTCCCCTCCCCTCTGAAGCATGCGCACATCACTCCCATACTCAAAAAGCCCTCCCTGGACCCCTCTGACCCGAACAACCTTAGACCCATCTCCCTGCTGCCATTTACATCCAAACTCCTTGAGCGCTTAGTCTATAATCGCCTAAGCTCCCACCTCATCGACAACAACCTCCTCGACCCCCCTACAGTCCGGCTTCCGTCCCCTACACTCCACCAAAACTGCCTTACTTAAACTCACCAACGACCTGCTAACTGCCAAAGCAAAGGGCCACTACTCAGTGCTCCTACTCCTCGACCCCTCCGCGGCTTTCGACACAGTCGGCCACCCCCTCCTCCTCAAAAAACTACACTCCCTTGGCCTTAGAGATTCCGCTCTCTCCTGGCTCTCGTCCTACCTATCACAACGCTCCTTCAGCATTACCTATAACGTTACCACCTCCCCCTCACTCCCCCTGTCTGTCGGGGCCCTCAAGGCTCTGTCCTCGGGCCCCTTCTCTTCTCCATCTACACCTCCTCCCTTGGCCAACTGATACACTCTCACGGCTTCAACTACCACCTCTTTGCAGACGACACGCAAATATATCTCTCGACCCCTCGCCTCATTCCCTCAGTCTCCGCCCAAATCACTAGC